TGTGATTTTGATACACATATATTGTTTTTCTAACTTTTCTTTTTTATATTTTTCTTTTTATTGTATATAAATTGTTTGTTTTGTTTTAATGAAATGAATAAGCTAAACTAAACTAAGTCACTAATTGTACACAACAGGTCAGCAGACAACAACACCTCCAAAACAAAAACTCTCCTGTTGTCTTCATTATTTTACTATTTTAATTCCAAAGTTTAGGTGTTTTTCAATACAAAAAATGGAAAATGACTTTTTATGTTTAAGGCTGGGCTGCCTTGTGACTGTAAGCTTACACACAGTTTACATAAGTGGAAATTAGTCAATGATCTGCAGTTGTAGAAACATAAAACCATAAATTCATACTTATACGCTTACAGAGATGCAGACACTCCCACAGTGCTCACCCATGTTCTGTAACTCTGGATTTTAATTACAGTCCATTCTTGCAGCTACAGTTATACAATAACAGACACAGGATGGCATAAAGTTGATTTTTAATACAGTAGAAGGTATGATGATATTTCAGACTTCTGTTAGAAAGAAGTTCAGGTGTTGTGAGATTCTGATGCCTGGTCAGTGAATTACCAAATGGCTGGACTGTTTGGCTGCTGTGACGAGCTGAACGTCTGAGTTTTCAGACACATTCACACAGAGGCACAAGCAAAAACAATTAGTCTACTGCCAAAGGGTGAAAGCGTTGGATTCTCTTTGTGAACACAAATTAATCAATATTATGAAAGCTACAAACGTCTAAGGGCTTTAAATGTTTGAATTTAAAATCTGAGTGAGAAAATGTGTGTTTGAGTCTTTTTAAAAGTGTAGAAATAACTTATCCTTTCGTTCTGAATGTCTGATCTTTGTTACACTTTCTTGTTTTTATTGTTTACGTCCTCTTTTAGGCCCTCTGCTGGGATATCCTGTACAGGGCGTGTCCACACTGATCCAAAGCCTGACCACGGAAACAGGGACGTCTCCTGCCATGGTGTCTGCCTGTGTGTCTCGCTGCATGTCAAAGGTAAAGCTGTGATTTAACCCCCGCCAAAAAAAAAAAAAAAAAAAGAAGCTTTTTCTGTGAAAATACAGTGTGATGTTTG